TTTCTGCGTGGTCCGCGTGACATTTTTGGGCGGTCCGCGCGTGAGAAGCCCAAAATTCCTACTCTCTGAAGTTTCCTGATGATAGGCTATAATTGCATATTTTAGTCGCTTATTACACTCGAATTTATTGCACTTTAATTGAGTTTGCGCTTTAATCGCTAGTGTTTTGCACTAATTGTGTGTTTTATGCCTTGTAGGTGTGATTCCGAGCTATATAGATGTTATGGAATGAATTTAAGTGATTTGAAGCTTTGAAGTCTGAGTAAAAGCTCAAGGAATTGAGCCGGGATCGTGTTCGGGGGTCAAATTTGATAATTAAGTACGAACGAAGACTTGAGGAGGCATATTGCGCACTGTCTAGTAAAATAGACATAACTATTTGCTCAGAACTCCATGTGGGCTCCACAATATATGGTTGGAAAGCTAATTCAAAGGTCTACAACTTTCATATTTTACGTTTTTCCAAATTCGGAATGGAACAGGGTGAAAAACGAGCAGACGCGCGAAGTCGCGCATAGTTCGCGCGCTAAAAAGATTGAGGCAGAAAGGTGCGCGAAGACCGCGCGAAGTCGCGCGTCTGACCCGGGAAAAGTGTCCTTTTTCACATTGAAGAAGGTATAATTGTTTGGGCCTAACCCTACTTGGTATATATACACGGGAGGATGCCACTTTGAGGGGATCGAACATATTTTGGAGGAGAATTCACGTGGAGGAACACACACCACGCTTAGAGGGGACATATTTTGGACATAGATTCGACCTAAGGAGGCAAGAACACATTGGAAGCAAGGCGGAGAATTCTTCTACGAGTTTCTCCTTCCTCTTCCTATTTTTTTCATTGTTGGTTATGACTTTTAGTATTGTAGTTTTACATACTATTATGAATAGCTAATTTGTTATCTAGAGTTTTGATAGAACCTTTTGTAGGATAAATTCTTGTTATGTTTTTATATAATTGAGCCATAGCTTTTCTCTATTTGTTCAACTACGTTTATATTGTGGTTGGTTGAAGAGCTCTCAATTAGCTGTGCCTATTTAGTATGCATAACTCGGGAGAGAGTGCATATTTAGGTAATTGTTGAACAACACCACTCCCAGAGTATATGAGGGATCAATAACTGAGGGTTTAAAGGCGGGATTAGGGATAACGAAGCCTTGGGTGCGATCTGAAGTGAGCTGTATTAAAAGCCAGCTAGCGTAGCTCGGGAGAGTGCGTCTAGTAAATTGTCGTAATTACTCGGGAGAGATTTACGGTAATAAGAGTGTTCATGATCGGTAGAGAATACTTAGGCGAAATTATAGAAGACATAGCGGGAAGGATTCCGACAATAGAGGAAATCATAACTCTAGATCTCCTTAATCTTTTCTCTAACCCTCAGTATCGTTAGTTGTTAATTTACTATTTTAATTTGTTAGTTAATTAGTTAAACATAAGAATCTTAATATCTATAAGTTAGGAATCGTTCAAGCTTGTCTTCTTGGTGATAGTGAACAGTTGTAGCTAAACCTTAGTTCTCTGTGGGATTCGACTCCGGACTTGTAAACCGGATTATATTTGCAACGACCGCATTGTCCTTTTTATTAGATATAGTTGGGTGTGATCAGATACAAAAATCTTGACTTACCATCGAGAGATGTATGCCATCACGCAAACTGTGGCAAAATGGAGGCAATATCTATTAGGGCGACATTTCACAATAATCACTGACCAGTAGTCCCTCAAAAACCTCACAAAATCACTAACCAGTAGTCCCTCAAAAACCTCACAACTCAGATAACTCAGATCCCAGAACAATAAAAGTGGCTAGAAAAATTAGTTGGGTATGATTTCACCATCAATTATCGACCGGGAAAATAGAATAAGGCTGCGAATGCCCTGTCTAGACCACCTGAGGTTGGCACATTTTAAGCTATATCTGAGCATTCGTTTGAGTGGCTCGCTGAGTTGATAGAGGCAAACAAAATTCATCCTGAGTTGCTGGCCATCAGCAGGGCATAGAAAGCAGACCGACGAATTACACGGCCTACTCTTTTTGCAAAGCAATGCTCTTTTTCAAAGGTCGTTTGGTCATACCACGTGATCCTTCCTTAAAACAACTTTTGCTTCAGGATTCTCATGATTAAAAGATAAGCGGACATGCTGGAGTTGCTCGTACTTTTCATCTCTTATCCTCAAACATTTATTGGCCAGCAATGCGTAACGATGTTAAGGTTTATTGGTTTACTTCAATACTTATTTTAGGCTATCATATCTATAAGGGTCAAAATCTGACCACGGGTTAATCATCCCTAAGAGGAACGATATGAGGTGTGAAATGTGTGTGACCAATTGTATATACCTTTGTTACTGTTAAATATAACTCAAAAAGCTTATGTTCCTCCGCCTAAATTATAAACACTGTTAATCTTCATTAACTGGGCGCCTCGTACCCTTCTTCATCTTGCTTCTTTTGCTTGTTGAAATTTGTATTTATCTTCTTAATCTCTCATTGTCTTTCACCATAAAGATGGATAGGCCTTCTTTCCTTAAGGCTTCTTATCAGGAAGCTTACATGACCTTTCAGTGCACCCATGATCTGCTAAAGACCTCACACATATCGTAGGCATCATAATCTCTCTTTCCAACCTTCTTTACGGATGTAGGTGTCGTCTTATTACGTATAAAATAGAATTTTGGAATTTGAATTCTTAAAAGTTAGCTCAACCACACGTTCTAGAGTAAGAAGAAAGAGTAAAAATCTTAAATGCCCTGTAGCCTCCTACTTATAAGTGTGGTGCACGACACACCCATATACAAGACTCTACTAGACACGGCTTGTAGACTGCCTAGGAAAGAACTGCTCTAATACCACTTTTGTCACGACCCGAACCGATGGGCCACGACGGGCACCCGGTACCTTACTCAACCGAGTACCAACGTAACATAACTTTTCATATTATTCCATCATAGGTAAATAAAACGGAGTAAAGCATGAGGGAATACAAACTTATAGATATGAAGTACGGGCCTATAAGACCAATATAATCACTCGTGTACTGAACATAGGCCGACAAAGCCATACAATCTTTTACGTACATGACATCTGTCAACAAGCCTCTAAGAATACATAATTTTTGTAAAGGTCGGGATAAGGTCCCGACATACCAAACAATACACATCTAAACCATACTGACCAAACAAGCAACTCCGAAGCAAATAGAGTGCACCAACATCTTTCACTGAGCTGATAGCCTACTTGGAGGGCTCTCTACCTGTCTATCGGGACCTGCGGGCATGAAACGCAGCGTCCCTAGGCAAAAAGGGACGTCAGTACGAATAATGTACTGAGTATGTAAGGCACATAAATAAGTACATAACAGACATGGAGGAAATATAGAGTAAATGACTCCACCTGTAAGTCTGAATAACTTTATAAATCATGAAATAATTATAGTATCATGCATATGCATATGAATGTCATGTCGTGCATAGGTATATGTTCCATAACATCATTAGCCTCTGAGGGCATCCCTTCGTATCATCTTTACCACTGTGGGTAAAATCATCAACGTATACTAGCTGATCAGGTGGTGGTGCGTATATAATGCCATAACCTTTCCCATATCCCATATACATATATATACATTCATATATATACGTATATAACGCCATCTGGTCATGGGTAAATTTACATGAATGCAATGCATGAAAAGCACGTCAATAAAATCTCTTGGAGTGTCATAAGACCATTATGCCTTTGAATAATATCATGAAGTAAACTTTTTAAACTTACGTATTTTTCTGAGACCCAAGAACAGATGATGGAATAATATGACACATGGAGAATCAAGAACATAAGCATCTCTAGCATTTCTATGAACAGAGTCATTTATGGAAGTTGTGCATTTGCACGTTTCATTTACATCGTATGGATCATGCCAAAAGAAATAAGGGATAGCATTAACATACCTGAACCGATTTTCTTGACAATACCTTTAGCACCGTTGATTGCGATAATCCGTAACGGAGGATCGATGTAGGGAAGAATCCGTATGATATTCTTTGAGAAAGATTGCACCGTACTCCCTTCGAATCGCAAAACCCCGTTGCTATAAAATCAGTAGTCTCGTATGATCTTTTGTAGCAAAGTCACGTTGATTGAATTTTGAAAGAGTTGCTGAAGCTTCATCTTCATTTTTGAGATTCAAAGATTGAATTTGAAAGGTTTTCTTAACCTTTAGGAGTGGGCCCTACTATGTGGCTTAGTTGGCCACCAAACTCCCTTAAAATGACACCTTGAATATTGATTTAATAGTCATATGTTATGACTTTGTGGGCTTCCACGTTTGGGGTGGTCAATCTTATCCAATCAATGTATTAATTAATTCCTTAATTAATTTGCTAATTCTCCATTAACCAATAATTAATCAATTATCCACATACTTAAGAATTACCTCAAATTACTTAAAATAATACTCACTTTTCACATACCTTATATACCTTACTATCATGGTCATTTAGTACCTTGTATGGTACTAGTCCATAAATATCGGGTATTAATGCTCGGCCCGTATTTTATCCCAGCATGCCAAACTTGGACGAAAATTCATCTTCTTTGACTTGCTTACCCTCTCACCTTGACGAATTTACTCGCCACTTGTTTGAAATAGCATAATACTTGTAATCTCCAAATAATCTTGTCCTTGAACTGATGTCAATTATCATACGACAAATTCAACGTACATTACTGTAGGGCGTAACATCATCGTAATATATTACTACGGAGCGTAACATTATCATAATGTAGTACTACAAGGCGTAACATCATCGTAATATTGCAGGGCGTAACATCCATAACTTCCCCGGATGGGGCAATATTTCGGCCGCTGTTGGAACCCCCTCATCTTCCGCCACCTCCACTTCTCCGAGAGCAGGAGCATCATTTTCCGGTACTGGAACTTTGGCAAGTGTATCAGCACGGGAAGAAGTGCCGGCCATTTGTTTCGATTGATCAAAATAAATGAGTAAGAGGAAGTATGAGGGAAGACGGTGGCGTCAAGTTCTGACTGACGAGAGAATGAACTCAGAAGTTAGGAATGTTGAAGAAGGTAAAGGTTTGTAAAACTGTTTAGATGAAACAGAAAAAATAGTGGTGGAATGGTGTTTTATCCCTATTTATAGGAACATGAATGTCCCTGGAGAGAAACCCAAGAGCCTCCAATCAAAAACTGATAAGGCACGGAAACGATACGGTGCCTAGGAAACATGCGCCTCAACAATGCATAAAGGGCATTCATGACGCTGCAAACAGACACGATGGTTCAGTTCCGAACTGACATAACGGTTCGATAGTACCATCAAAATGCCATACCGGCTTCTTTAACCTAAGGTTCTCGTTCGACGCACCACGATCAGATTTCTCCTAACTTACAAATCAACAAAGTCCGTCCGTTGAGCTCGCCAAGAAGCAACCCCTTCGGACAGAGGGACTAACTGTATGGGTCAAAATCTAACCATGGGTTAATCATCCCTAAGAGGAACGATACGGGGTCGACCAAGTCGTAGTCGTGCCTACAAGGCAAGATGGCAAAGGACACCTCAGCCATTGTTGGGGCCAGACCGTAAGAAAGCTTACGTCGCGGAACCAGTGTAGCGGTCAAGCAATTGAAATAGGGCGTGGTATCGAGAAAGTACGTTGGTCAAAGACCATTGGATAAATGTTGAAACTGCTAATATAATAGGGTAGCTAAACCCTAAGGAAGGGGGAGGCCAGAATCAAGAGAACCTCTGAGGGAAGAACATCTCCTTCACTCTTTTTCTATTTCTCCCATGTTCATGATACGAATCAGTTATAGATGTAAGCTTATTACATATGATTGATGTATAATTATTGTACGAAGAAATATTGTTCTTCTTCTTCTTCATTTTTTTTCTCTATCCTGCATATTTATATTTGGGATTAATTATGTTTAGCTAAGATTTACCTTCTTTAATTCTAACAATTAGTTCGACAAGAGGGTTTTATACTTTTTTGTTCAAACAATACCAATATGCTTTTTTTTTAAAAGCTATCACAATTAGTTTCCTATGTGATCTGATTGTAAAAATAAATACAAGCAATATATAAAATTTATACTCTAACTGGATATATGAAAGGTATTAGTTGTAATATTATACTCTCTTTGTCTAATTTTATAAGACACTTATTTTATTTCTATTGGAAGTTTAAGAAATTGTTAATTAATTCTATGTTTCGAGTATATTTTGTAATTTCTTTATACGTTAAGATTATTTCGATCACCCACGTACACCGCTAGACAATGCCCCCTTCTATAACGATCCAACCGGTCATTTTGAGAATTTGTGTCCCGTTCGAGCGCTTATGGTCTCAAGTACATTTGTATTGTGTATTATGACTTGCTTGTGTGGCCGGGTTCGGTCTTCCGATGATTCGAGACTGATTTGGGTGAATGATTCTTGTTTTAGAATCTTAAGTGGTAAGAGTTGACCGGAGTTTGACTTTTGAGTAGTCAACTCTGGGAAAGTATTTTGATGATTCCAATAGCTTTATATGGTAATTTTGGACTTAGGAATGCGTCGGATTTGGATTTTGAGGTCCTTAGGTACATTTGATGGATTCTGGCAAAAGTTGGAAAGTTCAAGGTTTGGAAGGTTGAGAGGTTTGACCGGAAGTTGACTTTGTCGATATCGGGGTCGGGTTTTCCAGGAGTTAGTATAGCTCTGTTATATCATTTGGAACTTGCATGCAAAAATTAAAGTCATTCCGTGTTGATTTGATATGATTCGACGCGAGTTGTAGACGTTAAAAGGTCATTAGTTCATTAGGCTTGAATTGAGGTGCGATTCGTAGTTTTGATGTTGTTTGATGTGATTTGAGGCCTCGAGCAGGTCTGCATTATGTTATGAAGCTTGTAGGTAAGTTCGTACGGGGTCTCGTGGGCCTCGAGTGTGTTTCGGATGGGCTACGGGCCATTTTCTCATGTTTTGGACTATTGTTCTGTCATTTGGTGTCTTCTTATTCGCGTTCGCGACTGCACCTCCACGTTCGCGTAGAGATTTTTGTGGAGGCTGCATTTCTGCTCTTCGCAGTAATGGCGACCGCGTTCGTGAAGCTTGGGGGACATTTGTCTTCATTTTCGATTGAAGGCTTACGTGATCCCGTATAAGGGAAGTTGGAAGGGGCATCGATGATTTATTCATCGCGTTCGCGACTTCGAGACCGCGAATGCGATGTTGCAGGGTAAGTGGCCAATGCGTTCGCGACCTAAATGTCACATTCGCAAAGAACGTTTAGTAGCTGATGAGTTTTATGCTTTGTGATCGCGAGGGAGTTTCGGCGATAGCGATGTATTGTATCTATGTAGAATATATAAGTACTCTATTTCGAGGGTTATAATATTTTATCACTTTTAGAGTTAGAGACCTTGGATTTGGGCGATTTTGGAGGGGATTTTCACGCTTTGGTTTGGAGTAAGTGTTCTTTACCCGGATTTGATTTTATTTCATGATTCCAATTTTTATCATTAAAATTTGAATTGGAGAAATTGGGATTTTTGTAATAACTTTAAAAATATATAACATGAGGATTTGAAGGCCGATTTGATATCGAAATTGGATAATTTCTGTATGGTTGGATTCGTATCGGAGTGGATGTTCGGATTTGGAGAGTTTTGTTGATTTTTGAGGTGCGGACCCGGGGTTGACTTTTTAGTTTTCATTAAAGATCGAAACTTTATTATCCGGAATTACTTCCTATGAATTTTATTTGTGATATTAAGTTATGATATTATCCGGAACGAGCTAGATTCCTGCCACGTCCCCAAAATCATGGGGCAAATTACATAGTAGGATCGAACAATTCCATTCTAGACGGTTAGACAGCTGTACCAAGAATATTTACTGTTGTAAATAAAAATATTTCTTATTTAGGGTTCCCCCCATTATATAAGGGAGACCCAAAGCATTTGTAAGACCATCTTTTTACTGAGCAAAGAATATACTCTCTAAATTTTGCCTGTTGTTCATCAGAATTGTTCCTTAGCTTAAATTGTTCTTATTATGATTCTCTTACTTAATTGTTCTAACTGCCCTAAGCCACCTCGAGGTCACCTTCTCGAGGTCACTGTTGTTGACTAATATTGGTTTGATTCAGTTTTGTCTTTCGTTTCTACTTCATATATCTTATTTATTAATTGGTATTGAACTAAATCACATATCTTTAAAACCACAAACCAAGTTTAATTGTTACTCGTATTTTCAAGGTAAACAGTTTGGCGCCCACTGTGGGGCTAAAGATAATAGTGATTATTTCTTTACTGATTCTCGTTACACACGTTGTTTTTAACCTTTTTCTTGTCAAGATTTTTTGATTTTGAGGCTTGAACATGTATAGCACACAAAACACACATGTTCATGACAGTGAGGGTCTTGGAGAAAACTACGGCATAGAGGTCGGTGTACCACCCATAAACCCTCAGGGAGTGTCGTATATAGAACCAGTTGATATCAGTTCGCACAATGCTCTAAACACGGATGTAGGCACAGACCCCGTAGGGAATGCACGCAGGGAAGCCCGACCAGGGGACCAAGGAACGCCAGGAGTAGGAGATGGGGGAGTCAGTGTCCAAGTAATATTAGAGATGCTGCAGGCTCAGCAAATCACCATCGCTCAACTCCAAAGTCAAAATAAAACCCCAAGCGTAGCTGAACATGACAACAATCGATGTGCTAAACAAACACCAGAAAGGTTTAATGAAAACGGCTCGGGGACTGACCCCACGATTCTGAAAATGCTCGAAGAGCTCACTAAGAGGATCGAGTCTGGAGAAAAGAAAATTGAAGACAATGATAAGAAGGTTGAGGCTTATAACTCCCGTGTAGACCAGGTACCCGGGGCACCTCCAGTTTTGAAGGGTCTAGATGCCAAAAAGTTCATACAAAAACCATTCCCTCAGAGCGCCGCTCTGATGCCCATTCCCAAAAAGTTTCGCATGCCTGACATACCAAAATACAATGGAACAACGGACCTTAACGAACATATTATTTCATACACCTGTGGGATAAAAGGAAATGACTTGAATGATGATGAAATCGAGTCAGTGTTGTTGAAAAAGTTTGGGGAAACACTCTCAAAAGGAGCTATGATTTGATATCACAACTTAGCTCCTAACTCTATTGACTCATTCGCTATGTTGGCAGATATCTTCGTTAAAGCCCAAGCCGGGGCCCTAAAGGTGGCAGTGAGGAAATCGGACGTCTTCAAAATTATGCAAAGGAATGACGAAATGCAAAGGGATTTCATGTCCCGGTTTCACATGGAAAGAATAGAATTACCTCCGGCCTTCGATGACTGGGCAGTAAAGGCCTTTATGCAAGGTCTGAATGAAAGGAGTTCGATCGCTTCTCGGCAGTTGAAACAGAACTTGATTGAATATCCAGCTATGACATGGTTGGATGTACACAACCGTTATCAGTCAAAGATCAAGGTCGAGGACGACCAGTTGGGAGCCCCCTCGAGTTCAGTTTATCCTATCAGATTCGCAGCCAAGTCCCCCAGGGACAAAAATCGAGATCAAGATTCAACAAAGAGCGGCATCAGCCATATGCCGATCGAAGGAGAAACGGCCCGAGCCGCAACACTCTTCGTAGTGATCGAAGAAACAATCAAAGTCAAAACTCTCGGGGACTCATGAGCAAAAGCGGATTTGACAAACACTCCAACCCCGCAGAAGCTCCTCGATTATTAGAATACAACTTCAACATCGATGCATTAAGAATTGTCTCCGCTATTGGGGGAATTAAAGACACCGAGTGGCCCAGGCCAATACAGACCGACCCTTATCAAAGAAACCCAAACTTGATGTGCAAGTATCATGGTACACATGGTCATCGGACAGAAGATTGTAGACAACTAAGGGAAGAACTAGCTCGCTTGTTTAACGAGGGTCTCTTTTGAGAAATTCTAAGTGATCGGGGTAAGAATCACTTCAGGGAGAGAGACTCAAAGAAAAATGAGCAAGAAGAACCATAGCATGTAATCCAAATGATCATTGGCGGAGTCGATGTTGCTCAATGTCCTATATTCAAGCGCACCAAAGTATCAATCACAAAAGAGAAACAGACTCGGAGCTATGTGCTCGAGGACACCCTATCATCTGTGATGAGGAAGCAGAGGACGTATCCCAGCCTCACAAAGTCGCCCTGGTAATCTCTATCCTTTTAAATAAAGTTCAAGTTAAACGTGTTTTAGTGGATCCAGGTAGCTCAGTGAACATAATCAGATCGAGGGTCGTGAAACAACTTGGACTGGAAGATCAAATTGTACCTGCATCCCGGGTGCTGAATGGCTTCAATATGGCAAGGAAACAACAAAGGGAGAAATTATCTTGCTAGTAAACGTAGCCGGGACCACATAAGACACCAGGTTCCATGTCATCGAAGGCGACATGAGGTATAACACACTCCTCGGGAGACCAAGGATATATAACATAAGGGCAATGCCTTCGACTCTCCATCAGATGACGAAATTCCCGATAGAGGAAGGAGTGAAAATAGTCCACGGAGAACAGCATGCCGCAAAAGAGATATTTGCAATCGAGGAAGTGGTGCCGATACCGGAACCCTTGACCTCGGAGAAGTCGTGCTCCGAAGGTAAGCAGGTGACTAAGTATCAATCACAGCCCCAAGCCTCGACGGATGCAGAATAATAGGTAACTGAAGGCGAAGAAGGGAACTCCCCAGCTTCTGGAACCTTCGTTGTTCCCGATAAGCTCGATGCTACCAAGTCAACTGCTCAAGAGAAAGGTACACCTGGGAATGGGATTAACCCCCGAACTCAGGAAAAAACTCATTTAGTTTCTTATTGATAATATGGATCGCATTGCTTGGTCCCGTTTAAATATGACAGGGATTTCGCTCGAAGAATAAATAAGTAAAATAACGAAAGCTTATATTGATGATATGACTGGTTAAGTCCCTGTGCTCGGAGGACTATTTTAATTCATTTGTAGGAAACAGTCAACGTTTCGGGGCGATGCGACACGAAGCTCAACCCAAAGAAACATGCCTTCGGAGTTGGCACGGGTAAGTTTCTCGGCTTCATGGTGTCAGATCGGGGCATCAGAATCATCCCCGACCAGGTCGAGGCTTTCGAANAGTGAAAAAGGTTATGTAAAAAGTAGAAAAAGGAGAAAGGTTTGAATTGCAAAAGAAAGAGTGACAATGTATCTCTTTAACCCCTTGAAAGAATTGAAAGAAGTGAAATACTCAAATGAGTCAAAAAGTATGCCATAATGAATCAAAAGAAGTGCTAAAGGGAAGATTGAACCTAAATGAACAAAAACATGTCCTACCTTCACCCAAAAGCCTTCACAATGACTCCTCAAAAGCCCTATATGATCTTGAGTTGATGGAAGCCTACATTAGTGGATACTTACATAAGGGGCAAGCATATGGTACCTAAAGCTAGACTTATGACCTTCTTTGTGAGAGAAATGAGTGAAAAAAATCCATCAACCTTGGGTTGTGTGTCATTACTCTAAAAAGTGAGGTTCGCTTAGGGAGAGTTGAGGATGTGTGAGTTTGGGTTCCACAAAGACCAAGGTATTTGAGAAAAGCGCCTTGATGAAATGAGTCAACCCTTGATGCTCTCGTGTCACATTCGATCCATAGTTCTTAAAAGACTAAAAATGTGTTAATGATGCATTCGTATTGAGGGCAATTGTTAGTCCCAATTGATGCGTCATGAGGCTTCCTTAGGATAAGCTGGAATTACTTGGATGTTTCCTTTTTAGGGGTGGGTCTTCTTTTATTTGCTTGAGGACAAGCAAAGGTTTAAGTTTGGGGGAGTTGATAACTGTGATTTTAACACGTTTTATGCCCATACTTGCCTATGCTTTATGTATGAATTGTCATAAAATAGACCCAGAATGCTTACAAAGTGCGCTTGATTGCAGGTTTGAGCGACAAGATGACAAAAGTCAAAAATCGGCTCGAAACGGAGTGAAACCTGCTCAAGTGTCAAAAATCATTGAAGTAGGGACAAAAGGACCTAGCGCGGACCACACTGATTTGCTGCGCAGCCGCACTAGGAGATTCAGAGAGCATCCATTTCAGGGGTTTCCATGCGCGGTCAGCGCTCTTTTCTACGCGGTCAGCGCTGGTGTCCACGCGGTCGCGCTTCATTGTTGTGCGGTCCGCGCCCATTAGCCT